TAACACGTCCATTTTATGTCCTCTAGATAAGAGCTGGCTCTTGGAAATCCTTTGGTTATTTGCCTCACGATGTGCCTGCAATGCAAAAATAAACAAACTATAGGATTTCTGGCTTTTCAAAGCTGAAATTAAAATCTTAGTTGTCTTTATATGTGACACATTCAATGCATGCTAATTTTCAGTTGAAGCTGCATTTGTTATAGGTGTTATTTAATGTGATGGTGTTGGTAGAGAGACACAGAGGACTAGAATAGTTCATATTAAATTCCTGGAGGAAATTACTCTTTAAAATAAAAGAATGGGTTCCGATGGCTGAAGTAGGTATAGAATTTGGCAATGGCACTTTCTGTCTGACTAGCTCTTTGAATTTATGGTCTGTCAACCAGAATCAGGAGGTAGAAGTTGAAAGACTGTCATGACATTCATTGGTATTTTCACCACTGAACACTACGTAAGAGTATATATTATTGCTGCTCAATACAAACTACTGTGCTGAAGGGAAGCAGAAGAAATGCCCTTGCTGTGGAACCTCTAAACAGGGCAGAATTTGTCAGTGTCTCTAGGACACTAGGAAAACTAAAACCTCAGAAGTTTTCTCAAAAGCTGATGAAAGAAAAAAAGAAAAAAACATTGCATTTCACTAAGCATGCTGCTTTACATGACTGCTTTAATCATAACTTGCACATAAACTTGTGCTGCCATTTGTGCTGCCATGGGGTCATGTTCCCCCTCATAACCCTTACTAACCACCTGTGCCTGCTGCTGCCTCTTTTGTGGTGACCTGAACATTGATATGATTCATGATGAATCAGATGGGAGAACAGATGGAGCTGAAAGGTACCTCACCTGAAAGTATGATCTGCTGCGTCACTTGCATGTGCTTGCCAAACATTGGTGGTGGTACACGGGAGGCGCCAAGAGCAAGGAGCCAGATGAAGGAACTCACCAGCTATGGCTTGGTTCTGTGTTGCTGAAAATAAAGTGCACTTCAATCATAAGTATTCTCAGAAAGAGCTTAACCGGTCCCCGCACAGAGAGCAGCTTGTACAGGCTTGGTTTGTCTAGTCAGAAGAGTGGGTGAGGAGGAGTCAAGGATTTTCAAGTCCTGACTCTCATGCCAGTTCATGACTCAGATGCACAGAGGTGTACCAGGATCAACAGCAAGCTCAGACCTTCTCATGATGCTCATCACGATTCTCACGAAGTGCTTAGTTCAGTCTGAATCAGAAGCAACTCCTTCATAGTCAGCAGAGTTATGCTATCATAAAACCAGTATGACAGGACAATCAGGTCTTATGTTGATAATTATCTGGTTTCTTCACTTTGAGCATTCCCAACCATTTTAGCAATGCTTTCCACATCTTCCCCATATGTTGTTATCTTGTCTGGCAGACTGGGGTTGTTTGATTTTCTCCTGGTGCCAACTATTGGTCCCAACATTGCTTTTGTGGCTTTGTTTGAGGAGCAGAGGACTGACAGTGCTGCAAAGCGGGTTGGCAGTCTCCCCCATGTGTAGTAGGGAGAACAAATAGATGATGCCTTAAGGGTGATGTGGGAGAGGAGGCCTCTCACTCCTCCGCTCTGACAGGCACTCCAGAAAAAGTCTCTTAACGTCGTCCTCTCATCTGAGCTGTCCTTTTGAACTCCAATTTCACTAGTTTGAAAATGTTTTCTGTATTTAGTTGAGCTCCTCTTGAAATTTTCAAATCAAACAGTTGAAACACACACACATACAAACACAAACACATCTATGCTTATTCATCGCTATTAATAAATTTTAAAAAAAGATTCTGTGTAGACTGCAGCTTATGAACCTATATAAGGTAACATAAAAAGAGGACAAATTAGTAGTCCTAGTATAAATCCCTTTTGCAGGAAAATACATTCCTTCATGCTGAGAGCTGCTGAAATGACAAGTTTTGATAAGCTTGCATCCACAATTTATATATATATATATACACATATATATATATATATGTTTTCCTCTTTCCACAGTGCCAGTTGTGTGGTTTATGTAACAAAATGTAACATACACACCTTCTTCTCCACCCCTTGCAGCCTCCTGGCGAAACAGTCAGTGTTTGTCTCAGAAAATTCAAGGTGCATAATCAGAGCTGCTAAGGGGCTTGAGTCAACTTTTTTGAGTTCATTGAACATTTTTTTACCTGGAGGAACCATCAGATGCAACATAGCAGATGTCCAGTGTCATCTGCTGCCTTACCTTAGAATATTTTAGAGATAAAATACAGTGCCTGGCTTTTTTCTCAACTTTTCTTTTTCTTTTTTTGAACAGCTTAAGCTACATGAGATGATTGTACCCACCATAGCTTCCCATTGCTGCCAGATGACTGAAAAAGAAAAGCTGAAGCTAAATTTGGGTGTACTCTCTCTTTTGGAATACATTTAGTGTGCAGTCCCTTTTCTTTCTCAATTCAAGCATTGCTTCTAAAGAATATCTGTGAATCACTCTTAAAAGCATCAGCCCTGGCCATTTCAAAGCATCATCTGCTTAACAAATTCAAAGCAGATTGACCTGTTTCCCCATGCTAAAACAGTTTACCTGACCTGTTAATTTTAGAGGATGTTTCCAGACAGTAGCTTTCTTACTTCTAGAGCCTGATGGATCTGATTTTGATGCCCTCAAGTCAGTAATAATTTACCCCACATGTGCTAACATACCATTAAGTATGAATAAGAGTATTACCATCAAGCCTTACGTAAACTTGTTTCAGGCTCAGCCAGTACACTTTATTCTGTTCTTTCCCCATTCCATTTCTCTCTTCCTCCTTGATTTTCTTATAGTCTTGTCAGTTGTTTCAACAGCAGATCCTGTCCTCTAGAACAACTTTCTGTTCCTGCTCTTTGACTTTCCAAATCATTCCATCTGGGATCTTAAGAGAAATGAAACCTGTTGTCAGTCATGTGTGACATTTAGGTACTGTTAGAGAAAAAGCAAATGTTGGTTTACATCACCTTGAGGTTCTTCAGCGCTGGCTGATTTTCCAGTGTCCAGAGCATCCAGATTATGAGTCTGGCAGAGAGTTACAGGAGGTTGGTTTATGCAGCTGAACTGTCATAGAAATACCCAGGAAAACTAGTTTAGGTACTGAAAACAATGTAACTTTAAAAAAAAAAAAAATCCAAACCAGCAGAGAGCTGGTCTGCTGCAGAGACCTATACGAAACTTCGCTGGGTAGAGCACCATGGCTCAGTACGCTACTGCAGCTTTCTCTGCCCACACTGCCCTGTGCACAGCCCGTGCTGGGTCCTGGCCCTGCAGCCTGAGAGAGGAGGGAAGCAGGGCGAGACACTGGGGACCTGCGTTCAGTTCTTGGCCATGTCAAGGATTTCCTGTCACCTTGAATATGTCCCTTACTTATCTTCTGTTACTATTTCCATCTGTAAAATAGGAAGAACATGTTTCAACTCCTCATAGAATAATTGAGAAGATAAATCCAAGAAAACATTCAAATATTATTATATAGTAAGTAATAATGCCAGTAATACAATTTATGAATGGAGTGGAACAGAAGGACCTGTTTCTACAGAGAACAAAGCTTATTCCAGTTTCTTTTTATAGTGTTCTTTACTTTCCTAGAGGTGATCCTGGTTTCATAATTAAATAGTTTGAGAAAAAGAGCTCTTCTCTGCTGCCAGTGCATTGGAATGCAACAGCAGAGCACAGGCTCATGGGTAACGTTTGTTGGTCACAGATCTCTTGGGGTTTGAGTTCAGGCAAAAGGTGTATGTAGCTATTTAAAAGAAGACCAGGCTATGTAAATAAAAAGTCTCATTTTGGTGTTATTGGAGATTCAAAAAGTTAGCTCTGTCCTGGGCTTGATCCCGTTCCAATTGGAGGTGGTGGGAGCTTTGCTCCTAATTTCAAAGGAAGCTGGGCTGGGGTGAGTAAGGTAGTAGTGATACTTAAAGAGAAGCAAGGCAAGCTTGTTTTGTACCTTTCTGTCTGAAAACACAAGACTCTGACTAGTCAGCCAGGGGCGGACCGCAGAAATTAATCAGTCTCCCATGTTGGGGTTCGCTAAGCCATTCCACAAGAAGGCTTCATTCTCCTGAGGGTGCTTTTGTCTTCTTCTACACACCTTCCCAAAGGATCACTGCTAGTCCTCTGGAAACCTGCCTCAGGGCCACAGTCTGTGCTGGAGTCCTTGATTTATGCACCTATGATCACCACTTTTCTTCAGCTCCCATCCTGCTTGCAGCAGCACCGCTTCTAGTATGTAGTGCCTTGCAATCCAGCTGCAATGCTGCTGCTGCATCCTTGCACTACACGGCTGCCAAGAGGCTATGGCAGAGCTGAGGCAGCTTGCTGAGGAGTAGGGGGGGGAAGGTGCTCCGTGCCTTAAGCATGACACTTGCCTGGTTGCTCATGAACCCGTTATTAGCCTGTTTCCAAGAAGCTTCGCAGCACACACAGGACAAAACCCCTGTAGCCCAGCCCTGGGGAGACGCTCTCTGCTTATGAGGTCCTTGCACTGTCCTGCCCTGAGTGGGCTGCCTTGTGCCACACTTGTGAACAAGGCTGGCAACTGTGTTTGACTTCCTCAGGAGCAGCCTGTGCAGAAAAGGGTGCAGAGTCCCACCTTTTCTTCACTCCTGTGCAAAGCAGACCAGCACCCGGGTTGCCACATTGCATGCAGTGAAAGCAACTGTGCTCAAGGAGCTAGACAGAGATGGCAGAGCTAAAACTGGGTTGCTATATTTAGCACTTAACCAGAGTAAGCCACAGTTTGCAGGAGGAAAGGATGGATCTTGCTCACTGCTCAGGACAGATTTAGGGGTATGCACAGCAGCATTATCTCGTGTTACTATGTCTTCATTATTTCAACAGTGGCCTGTTTCAACTGGCTGTAAGACAGCAGCACTTCATGAGGCGTTAGGCATAATTAAAATTAACTTTCAACTGCCAAAACAAATAACCAGACTAACTGCATTTTCTTTTCCTTTATTTTGTGTTGTCTTTGTTCCTTTACTGAGTGTAGTTACATGGTCCTTCAGAACTGTTTTCCCAACCCTCCTCAAGTTTGGAAATGTGAAGTAAAGAGCTGGTGATCATTTCTGCAGTGAGCATTTGGGCTTGGCTCCATCCACAATAAAAGCATATGCAAAATGAGGTGGGAGTTCCTGTTTGGGGAAAGGTAAAAGGCACAGTGCAAAAATCAAAAGCCAATTTACAGCTTTTCTATAACTCACCATGGAGTGACACTGTTTTGACAGGTGAGAGGCAGTATAGCTCCCTGTACTGAGGGAGAAATTTCTGGGTAGCCAGAACCTCCCTTTGCAATGTGTGTGAAAAGGAAGGTAGGCCAGTGAAAGAAACAGTTCTTAGTACAGTCATGCTTGCTCAACAAAATTTAGAAGATAGTATCTACAGAAATACCAGCCTTTCAAAAGCAACAAGAATTAGGAGATTACCCGAGTGTCACTGCCTTGTTTATGGAATCTGTGGAAAACTCTCTGGAAACTTGATCCGCATGCCTGCTCATTTTTTGCTATTATGCAAAGAGTAATTACATTATCAACCAACCAGTAAACCAGGCAAAAACCTGTGGTGAATGCTACTGTTCCACTGATCTATTTAATGGATGAATGATCTTTTCATTTCATCTGCATCTGACTTGTAAAGGAGAGAAGACAAAATAGAATAGCAGCAATAAAACCATGAAAAAAGGGGGATGGGGATGTTTACATTGTTCTGTGAGGCACCATGCAAAGACCGACTTTTGACCAAGTTTGCACCGACAAATACATGTGACTAAATTTAGCACTGCATGGACCTGTGTGTCCTGAAAGCAGTGCAGCCCTGTGACCGTTATGCTACCAGACTCTACAGACCTACCCCTCAGCAGGGTTTGCTATTTTGGGTACTGCACTGTACCTCCTGGCTGACACACCTCCTGCTAAGGCAGCCTCTCCAAGTTTAGGGCAACTCCATGGTGATTTGTAAATGTACACAAGCTCTGAACCAGTGTGACGTTTTTCATGCAGGGTGGAGAAGAGAGGGACAAGACCAAAGTTGTCGGGCATTTGAGAGTTCTGTACTTTACCTCTCTCTCCTTTTCTGTGTACCAGGCTCTTGCTGTAAGACTCCAACAGAAAACTCACTGAAGGAAACTAAAAGATTCTTACAACATCAATAAGCTTTCAATCAGGCCAAAAGAGCAAGGTTATGTTGTTGCCAGGCTGCTTCAGTTCTCCTATGTCCACAGTGGCAGGCTGTCAAATCCAGTAATTCACATAAAATAACCTTCTAGCATAAAATGGAAAAAGCAATAGCAACAAATGGAAATGATAAATGAGAGGAAAAAGAAAAAAAAACCCCAATTTAATGTGTTCTTAAGTTTCTCATATACTCAAGTAGTTAAAGATCCAATGGGTGCAACTGAAAATATCAGGGCTCAGCTAATGCCATGTGTGTCTGTCATAACCCTCCTGTGGAGCCCACCAGCATGATCAACCGGCCCAGAAACCTGAAGTGTCCCTCTTTTCCAGGCCTGGAGGGGCAAATGTGTCTCCTAGCGACAGTGTCATTTTGCAAACTCTGGCCACCTAAGGAGCTGTGGGTAGCAGAGCTGCTCAAATTGACACCACCTGGCTGAACAATAAAGCCTCTGCTCTAATGTTCCCTCTTGGGTTGACCACCCAAAACTTTCAATGCTCAAACCTGTTGTTGCCCCCATGTAGAAAGTCTGCCCAGAATGGGCATGCAACTGAGCAAAGCTGCAGTTGCCCTGGGTCTCCTGGGATGCCAAGCCTTGCTGCCAAAGTCGTGCAAATAACTCATTGGTACAGAACAAAATCAGGTCAAAGAACTCCAGAATTTGGTCTGAATCACTTATAACTTAAGCACAAAGACTCCTGAGGGTATTTGCAATGTTTCTTCTGTGGCCTGCTCAGTACCCAGTGAATTCACAAGTTTTAATGCAGCTTCAGAAGAAACAGAAACGTAATGTTGTTATACTGTGCCAAGTGCCAGGTGAAGAGTCATAGCAGAAAAATAAACCTTTCCGAACTGTTAGATGTCTCATGATAGATGAGTCAGAAACCCTTTGTTTCCTGCTACACTGTACCAATTTAGCAGGCTGCAAAACGAGAAAATGGAGCTGTGTATGACAAAGAAGATAATTTGTGAAAAATGCCCACAGTTTGTGGGGTAGATGAAAGACAAGATACAGCAATTACAAAATACCAAGAGACACACTCTGTGGGCAAAGGGTGTGTCCAGGTTCTTCAAGCATTTGAGCAATTAAGATCCGAGTTATCATTCTTTCCAATAGTTTTCAGTGAGCAGGAGCAAGTGCCTTCACCAAAGACCAGTAGTAGATACATCAGATACATGTTGCGTCTGGCACCAAATGCAAGGCAAATATTTCGGCTCTAGCAATCCTCAGTTTGCATCCTTTGTGAATTCCACGGGGGAAAAGAGTTTTCTGCTGGGAAAGTGTAGAAAACAGTGCTATCAGTGGGATGTCACAGCATGGAATAAGAACAGAAGTTCAGAGGTTATTATGAGGCCCACATTCAAGATCACTCACCTTTGCGCTCTCATGTGAGCCAGACTTAGCAGTGAAATTCTTTTCATGTGTATGTGATCCCAGTAAGTCTTCATCCTCTACCACATAACCCCAAAGATAAAGAGTTAAATACAGCTTTGGGCCATGTGTGAACCATCGAAAGTAAGTGAATTTGCATTTTGATTACACCAGATATAGTTTGGGGAACTAAAACAAATTACTTTTATAAGGTTTGTGAATTAAAATGTTCTGTATTTCAATTCCAAATGTTGGTCAGCAGAGCAATGATATATAATAGGCCTACAGAATAAGTCGTGATTGTTTCCTGTCATTCTGCTATTTCAAACTGAATGTCTTAAAAATGAGAATTGAGAGATTCAAGGTAGAGCGGGAGCTTAGAATCTATTGGCACAATTTGAAAAGTAACTAAACAGTTCAATAGCAACTTAACAAAGATCCATGCTTGAGGAAGACATCTCCCTGGGGTTCTTGACAGTATGGCATCTACATTCTCCTGTATTTCAGGAAGGAAATTAGAATGAGCTCAGAGGGAAAACAATTCAGAGAAAAGCCATGAGAATTATTATGGGAAATGAAAAACAGATCATAGCAAAAAACTCTGAGTGCGCTATCGGTTTCCTTTATAAAAGAACTGATTGAGGAGAAAGAGAGTTACAGTCTGTATGTACCAGCACTAAGCACACAGCATGAACGAAATTTTCAGTATCATGGACAAAAGTATAACAGATGCATTAACTGAAAGGTGGACAGTTCAAACTAGGAAAGAGGCACACATTTTTGACAGCTAAAGGAATTGAAACAATTTACCAAGGACTTCAGCGAATTTTCCATCAATGAGAAGACATACAGAATGACTGGAAATTTTTCTAGAAGACACCTAGTTGAAACAAAAATTAATTCATGGAAGTTCAATGGCATGTCATATACAGGAGGTCAGCCTAGATTATCACAAATGGGCCTTTAGAGCTTTAAAGTCTAAGAATTTATGGGAGATTGAAAAGATATTAACAAATTTTCTACCAGTAGAATGTCCTTAACAAAGATCAATCTCTCTGTCTATCAGTGGATTTTCCATACCTTCCATCAATGTCTTAAGCCTTTTCCAAATAAATTAGGTTAGTGTAGTGAGATCAATAATGGTCTCATAGTGTCTTCTCTATTTCAGTCTGCCTCAGTTATTGAAAGAACTATCTAGTCTAAATATATACGATCTTTTATTCCACTTGAGAAACAGCCCATTCAATTATATCTCATTAAAGCATCTTAAAATGAAAGTTTTAATGAACATTAAAACTGTCAATGAAAAAATGCCAAAACTTTATAACTTCTTAAAAAATGAGCTCTGAACATTTTTCTACCACAAGCTAAATATTTCTACAAAATAATTTTGTTTACAGTTTTTAATTTTTCTGAGTTAATCAAGTGCAAAAGTTCTGGTTGGACCATGTGGAAAATAATCTTTACATGCTTTAACAGCTCTGCTGATTTTCTTTCATCTTTCAAATACCCCAAACTTGTCATGTGCTAAAAGCAAGTCTGGAAAATGTCAGTCCCAGAAAACATGCTTGTCAAATTAATAGCAACCAAAAATAAGAGAGGAGTGGTCGTATTAAACACTGAACTCAGTGGTAATTATAATGGAATTTTGGTGCATATTACCAGTTTGCCTGACCTAAGATGCAGACATTAAGAGACCTGCTGGCAGAAGTTGCCCAGGAGATGTGCTGGAGCAGCCTGACTCTTGATGCCTGTCTTTTCTCCCTAGCTGACTTCATTCACATACCGCATCATGTCAGTTTACTCCAGTCCCTTCCCCTCCCTCCTCATCAGAGTTGAATGTTGCAACCTGTTTACAGTGAGGAGATTCCCTTACCGGGTGAACTTTCTGTTACCTGGCAGAAGGAATTCCTTGGGAATGACTGCAGTCTCGGTATCTGTGAAACAGCTAAGGGATTAGAGATGTCTTTTCAAGTCACTGAAGGTTTCTGATAAAGAGCACAGCAGCACTCTGCCAGAAGTGCAGGAAAGTATTGATCCCATAAAAGAGGGAGGTTTTTTGCAAGTAGAAACTGAACATCCATGTTAGATACTCGCTATTATTGCCCCAGTCCCGGTGAAAACTGATGAATGTAATGGCTGCAAATTTCACAGGCTTTATGCAAGTCAGTTGCCACTGCTGCAGAGTGGTTATATGTTACTCAACATGACAATGCATAGAGAATTCAGACTGGGATTATCCATGGTACGGTGACATCAGCATAGTGCAAGAGAAATTTTTCCTGCTTCTGTCTGCCTCTTTTCTTTCATGACTGTACTCTTAAGGGTTCGCATCCGCTGAAAGACCCTTGGGTAGAACCTGTGGTAGAAATATATGGAGCCAGGCACTTCTGTCTCACCACCAGTAGACGGAAGGCATTAGGTGGCTTTCCAAGAGCCCCTCTGTAGAGGAGAAGCTACAGCTGCCTTGCTCTACCATAGTCTTACCCTTGGAGATACATACACTGACAGGACACCCAGGTTCTGTTTCCTGTTACATCCAACTAGGGTGAACCTAGCTTATTGTCTGAAGTGCATTTCAGTTAAAAAAAAAAAAAAAAAAAAGAAAGCAAAAGCAATGTGGCCTGTCACAAATGAAATAGTTGGGGAGTTAGTGCACACTTAAAAAGAACTGCTTCTTTCCACAGTGAATGGAACCCAAAATGGCTGTGAATCTCATTTCAGCATCTAGCAGAAAAACTGCCAGCCTGGTTATAGTAAGGATGATATTATGTTGCTTAATCTTATCTGGTTATGTCCCCTCCAGTGGTTTCCTGCTGGTAAACCACAGAGAAGAGAGGCAGTAGTAAGTAAACTAGAGGAAGCGAGGTGAAATATAGTATGCTCCTTTGGTTAATAGGGGATTCATGTAAAGGATATTGCTAATTAAAACCAATAGCATTTTCCTCCATATGGGCTTTCAAAACCAGTTTCAGAGGATACAGAAGATGTTTGGTTTCACTGAATTGCTCGTAGTTTAGGGAAGCCACTGAGATGAAATACTAGTATTGTGGTAAACTGTGCTTGCGTTTTAAGAGCAACATGTGAAACAGGCGCTTTACAGAGTGTGAATACATGGTTTCACCCACATAATGTCCAAATGAAAAGGCAACTTGGGGTTAGAAGAGCAAAATCCACCCTCAGCCTACTCTGAGGTACAAGAAACTGCAAAACAGTTGTGGTTACTGGAATAGGAGCTCTTATGTCCCCAGGCTATGCGTGTGTGGCTCCAGGGCTGCTGGATCTACAGAAGCATGAAGTCTGGGGATTTGCCTGCAGTGCTGACCTTCGCACCAGCCTGCGGATGGCACGGTGATTCACAGGGAGTGTGCCAAGCCAGCGGCTGCCTCCCTGCTACTTGCTCACTGCTTTCCTCTGGTGTGACCAGAGGGAGTTGAGGTTGCTCCAAAGACATAACCAGAATTCCCTTGTAGAGCAGCTCACCTCATTAACTGCACCAGGAAATACTGAGCAACGTCAGCAAAAAGATTTGTGAGTGAGATGACATCTTTATGCATTGGTGAGATCTTGTGCTCAGCACTTGCTTACTTCACCTGGATTCTAGGCTTGTGCCCAAGGCTGAGAAACAAACTTAAACTTTCTTCAGCTTGCCTATTCATGAGTGCCTTGTGTCAGCAAAACGTGCCTCATCATGTGGCTACCGGATGTTTTCTCCACCTCCTGCACCACTTCCAAGGATCCCACTCTGACCCACTTCCCCAACAACAAACAGAAGTCCACTTTTGTTGTTAGAGTTGTCTTTGCATCACTGGTAACAAACAGTCTGTAGGAGATATTGGAACAATTCCCTGCTTATTGATAGTGTCTGATGATGGGCTTCAAATGTGGATGATCTGGGTACTTTGAAATTAAAATTGAACAGCAGAAGTGAAGAAAAGATGCTGAAGGAAAAAGTTGGCACCCCTCTTAATCAGAGCTGTCCAAGCTGTGGCCTGTAGGATGTCTTCTGTCTGGTTTCTGCCTGTATGTTATCTGGCCCATAGCTGGGCTGTTATAATACTTACTGCTTTCATATTGTGAAAGCCTGGACTGTCCTTCTGTAAGTGACTTATCCCAAATCTGTGGCAAGTGGGAGTCTTTCACTAGACAATTCAAGTGAAATACATGCATCCTGGAAGATTTAGAAGATGAAGGGAAAATCGGTCTCCTCCTTTCTCATCACCCTTTTCAATTACATTTTTTTGTTTATCAGTTTTTAGTTTGGGCAAGGGATTCCTCTTATCCCGCTTTCTCTTGTGCTCTTGAGGCTTGAACAGCCCTTTATTATTGCAAGAAGCTCCTGTTTACCTCTTTTCACCTGTGTGCTGGTTTCTGGCCCTTGTTCTTCTCTTGTTGACTCCCCGAGGGTACACAGATGGTAGCCTGGAAGCCAAAAGGAATGATACTGGAGGAGTGAGAGAGTGAGAGGAAAAAAAGTGAAAGAGGAAAAAAAAAGTAAGAAAAAAAAAAAAAAAGAAGCAGTGATCATAGCAAGCCTCCAGACTCTCCTAACAGCACAACCCTAATACGTATCAGTGTGCTGGATCTTGTCAAGGTGCAGGTAATGTATAATTTTGGGAATGCAACCTAAACAACATTTAACTTGTTGGCTGTAAATGTTTAGACCTGTTAAGTAAGGTGTCACAGTTCTGTCATCAAGTACACTCTGTCAGCTGAGAAATATTTTTTTATTCACAGGCAGTGCCATAGTCTTTCCTTTAGTGGCAGACCTCAGCCTCAGAGGCACCGCACAGCAGAATACCTAAGCATTTCTCATGTCCAAATGAGGCCCTCTCAAAAGGGGGTGCAGGGGGGTGAATTCACCCTGTGCGCAGGAAGGAGTTAATCTCACCCCCACAGTCTGGTAGGGAGTGACCAGCATTTTTCTAAAGGATAAGGAAACGCCATGACTTAATAACTTCAGTAAGGTTTTTTCAAGCATACTGTTCTTTGGAATAGGAGGTGAAACACCAAAATATTCTTGGAGAAAGCTGATTTGCATCCAAGGTGCTTTATAAAATGAGCCTTTAAAAGGAACCCAGCAAGTAAACGGCGCTCCCCCAGAGTGGCTACTTGCACCACAGCTGCCCGCCTGCTCCCTCCTTCCCGTGCCGTGCCAAAGATCCCACAAGTGTAGAAAACAACTGTTCTGGTCATCCAGTTTTCTGACACAGTGAGAGATACAGCGTACGATGTGAATGACAGCAAGAAGAGAAAATTCAGCAGTTGCTGCAAAGAGGCTGAACTCCAGAAGGGCAGCTTGTCCTCGGAGCAAAGGGACTCATTGGAATAAGCAGCCAGAGCGCTCCAGTCATGAGAACTTGGACAGCACAGAAGTCAGAGGCAAGGGCTGCCTGCCATGCTCTGTGCACACTCACACCTCTCCCAATTCCCTGTCTTTCCATTGACATTTTCTGGGCTGGTTTTATAAGGAACGAACCTTGCAGGGAGGACGCTGTCTGTAACATAATTAAGACAGAAAAATACACCACTCCTTTCACTTGCAGTGGTTTTTTTCTGAGGCTCTTTGTCATGAAAATAATAACATTATTCTTGTGGTTGTGCTTCAGTACAGAGACAGCCTGCTGCCTAACTGGACTAGTGATTTTGTGTAGAAATGATAACATTCAAAACAATAATTTTAACCAAAACAATAACACTCGAGAAGACATCCAAACCCTAATGAATGTAATGTTTACCAGTGCTTTTAGCATAAATGTTGACACCTTCAAGTTTGTTCCAATAAGCCTGCATGAACCTCTGCTTAAATTTATGATTGTGGACTGTTTTTCTTGAATTAAAACATATATTAAAGGGACAGTTAAGCACAACAACCTGAAATTTGGCCTGCCTTGGGTGGTTTGGATCTTTGGCATACATGTGGCGGTTCCTTTCCGCTAAAGCCTTCTGCTCCATTTCCAGCAAAGGGCAGGCAGCGAGGAGAAGTTTACAAGGCAGTGGAATACCTGTAAATGTCAACACGCAGCCTGCTCGCCAGAGCTGAGCGAACTGGTACAACCAGAAAGTTACATGCCCATGAGAGGTGGGCGCGGGCGGAGGGGAAAGCAAGCGAGAGAGGACTGGAAAAACATAAAAGAATCCTGGGTTGTTTCTGGAGGAGTAGACTTTATTCCAATGATGTTGCATGCCTCGTAATTTGGGGTAGCAGATGGGAGCAGCCACATCAGTCCTGATAACATCTATTTTGCAACCTCAGTGTAGAAGTGGGCCCTATGATTGCAGATACGGCCCCTTGCTGAACTGGCCCGCAGAGTAGAAATAGGGAAATTCAAATTTCAAAACCAGGCTTTGGTTTGCTTACCAGAACGCGTGGAGGAGGTGGAGGAAATGCAGCTACCTAGCCATGGCTTATTTGGCAGGCAAACTAAACGTGTTCAGGGCCCTACAGCACAGAGGGAAAGCGCTGCTGCTCCTGACTGTGTGCAGTTTAAGAGCGGTATACAGGAGGCAGAGAGGCAGGGCGATTCCGAGGACTCCCCTGCCCTGCCTTTCGTCGCTGTAGGTCTCTCCGGTTTAAAGCTATAGGTAAGGGCAGGCGCTGCGGGGTGCGAACAAAGCAGAGCAAAGGCTTGGCTGGGCTCGCTCCCCACTGCAAGCCTGCAGGGTCTCCGAGGGGCTTGCGCCGAGGCAACGCGGAGCCCCGCAGGATAGCTCACAGGCCCGGTCCCCCCGCTGCTGAGGCGCAACCTG